TTTGCAAAAAGAAATGTTTGTAAATTAGATTTCAAATAAGGACAGCCCTGGTTGAGTGCGGCTTCTGCTAACACAGGCGAGGGGCGTGGGACCGAGGCTGTCGCAGGCCGGCCAACGGGAATCGCTCGCTGAACTACGAGCGAGCGCACCTCGCGCTCGACAGTCCCTGCGAGAGGTGACGAACCAGTGACCGCAAACCCTCCTGTCCTGCCCTCGGTGGGTGCTCGGCCCGTCGGATCCCTGGGGCTGGACCCACCGGCCCTGGGCTCAGCCGCCCGTGGAACCAGGTCTGAAGCTGGCAGGACCGTCAGCCGCGCCCCCGGCTCCTGAAGTTCCTGGAAGGGGCGGCTCCTGAGGACGGGTTAAGAGATGAAGGTGGTTCCTTAGAAGGTGAAAAATAGGAAGCGCAGCGGGAGGGAGGCGTCCCGCACACAGCGGACGACCCCCCCCCTGCCCCCCCGACTGGCTCTCACAACATCCCCGACCCGCTTTTCCCAGTGTCACGCGTCTCCCGTTTGCGTCTCTGAAGCGCCGGGCCTCTGAGTCCCTGGACTGGGGAGCGGGAATCTCCCCTGCGGCGGGAGGTCCCACGCGGTCGCCGGAGCGGGGCCTGGGCGGCGTTTCGTGGGGACTCAGTTCGCCCAGACTGTGGTGCCCCGATTACCCGCTGGCTGTGCCGTCACCTCAGGAACAGTTTCCAGGGAGGCATCCGGGGATCGGGAGGAATTCTTTTAGACAAAGTCCTTATTTCAGAGCAGTTCTACGGAGAAACTGCGAAGACAGCGCAGGGCCCCCGTCTGCCGTTGTCAGCACCGCACACGCGTGGGGCCCCTTCACCGCGGCTAAGGAACCGGCACTGGACACTGTCGCCATCAACCGAGGCCCACGCTTTACTCAGGCTCCCTGAGATTTTATCTGATATCTTTCGGGTTCCAGGACCCCTGCCGGCACCTCGCGCGCCTTAGCTGTCGTTCCCAGGAGAACGTAAGGACCTTTCAAGAGAGCACCGGGGTTTAAGTTACGTCTGGTTCCGATATTTGTGACTGGAACCACTAAAGGAGACGAGTTCTCGCTTTTCTAAAATGCAGTCATTGGAGCGGCTGAGCACAGATGAAAGGGAAACCCGCAGGCCCCCACCTTGAGGAGATACTCGGGGTACCCGGCGGGACCGGGATAAGGTTTGGCCGTAAGTGAAGACCTGAATCCCTTCACTGTTCTGGGAGCAGGTGGTTAAAATGTTAAAGGCCCGCCGGCCTTTTCGGTGTCTCATGTCCTGGCACAGGGACAACTCGCTTTCCTTGGCACCCTCCCTCTCACACGGCACTGGCCCGGTGACGAGCACAGCCCCCTCCGAGTTGGTTTTAGGGGACCGAGCCTTAGGTTGCGGGCGAGCCTGCGGCAGGGCTGTCACATCCCGCAACCGAGGGCATCGGGCGGTGGCTCCCGATGCTCACACGCGCCTGAGGTCCCTGCACACCGGCTCTGCCCTGGGAGGTGGGTGCAGTGAGGAAGGGCAGCGATGGGGCTCTCCCTTGGGGCTCTCCCTTGGGGCTCGCAGTCCCCATTGCGGGCGAGCGTGTTCCGCGTGTGACCCATCAGGTTCACAGGGACCTTCCGAGTCAACCGCAGGCCTGGACCAGGCTCGCTGGTCAGGTCCAGGAGGCTGAGGCGGCCTCACGGGACTTCTGCCAGACGTCACTCGGTGGCTTTCAAGGAGACTCTCAGGCAAGGCACAGGGCACTGACTCCAGGGCCCACCCTCTCGCCCACGCACGAAATCTCACCGCACATGCTCTGTGGGGGCCGGGCCGCAGCCTGAAGATCCTGCTGAAGGAGATGACCTTTGCTTGCTTGTCTGACACACGGTAGACTCCACAGCCCCGGAGGGAACAGCCAAAGGAGGGAAAGGCCCGGGACTGTGCCTCCCTGACTGAGCTGACGGGGGGGTGCACTGGGATCGTGTGAACATTTACGGGGTGCCGCTGTGGGCAGGCATGTGCCGGGGACCGGGAAACCATGGTCAACAACAAGGCCGGGGCTCTGTCCCGCCAGACGCCCGGCTCACTCAGCGGCCCCGCAGCAAGGGCCCAGCATCCGGTAAGCAAGTCAGCGGGTGAAACCAACACCCGGGTGAGCTCAGTGCTTACGAAACACGGAACGTCTGCTTTCCAGTTGGTCCTCTTTGTTGTTGTTAAGCCTCCCCCAAGGATACTTTTTCTTTCTTTCTTTTTAGAGAGAGTGGAATGTCTCACGGGCATTGATGTGAGAGACACGTGGATTGGTCGCCTCACCCGGTTGTGCCCTGGTCGGAAGGTGGCCTGTGTAGCTGACCTAGGGTGGCCCGAATTTGAAATCTCCAAAAGGGGACTGAGAGAGAGATTGGCAGCCTGTGGCCGTCGGGAGGGCAGGGGAGGGCTCCTGACTCACCCTGACGGGCGTTTCTCGGGGTGCCGGCTTTTGTGTGCCGAGACCCGCCTGCGCCCCTCCCCACACCCAGGGCAGGGGCACAGCCAGGGGCAGGGGCATCGTAAGGTATCTGTGCCCCTGCGGAATCTGCCCACAGGTGAATGAACATGGAGAGAGAGCCGGGTGTCCACCAGCCAAGCTCAGCAAACCCGCAGAACAAAGTCATGGCCACGCTGAAGGGCGCCCGTAAAGCGGTTACCGGGGCGTGTGTCCTGCCTGTACCCCTTCGCGAGGCTTCCTGCCACTGGCCTCCGGTTCTGGCCTTGGGCTCCCCGACGTCCAGAAAACAGGGCCTTGACTGCTGGGAATTTGCTCACAAATCCCTTTGGGGACTTCAGCCCCACCCCCCCGGGAAGCCAGTGTCCACTTCCCCCTCCCCCCACCCATGGGTGCGTCTGGACGCCCAGCACCGGGCGGGCAGACAGATCCTTCCCCTCCCTGCCCCTCAAGGCCGATGGTACTGAGAGCAGGCTCCCAGCCCGGGTGGCAGGGTTACTGGGACGTGGAGTCCTAGAAACCTCCAGTGGAATCTGGGGCAGTGGATCCTCTAAAATTATCTTGTAACAAATAAATGCCGTGTTGCTTACTAAGTGGGGTAGTCACCCCCACACCGAACACTGTTCAACGCTGTTAGCCTCTTGTTCAGAGAAATCCGGCTCCGCATTTCTCAAAGCCTTTTTTTGTTATGGAGCGACCGACGAGTAAACCTTTGATAAAACCATGTGCCAACTTCAAGATACACGCAGAACACCAAGAAATGCCTTATTCAGCCCTGCAAGTGGACCTTCTCTCTCTCCCTGCGAGGCTCCTGTCTCCGTACCTACTACAGTCAGCGGAGCCTTCCTCAGTTTACCTTCCTCTTTTTCATATAAGCCCTTGGAGGGCACAGTTCAGGTCTTTTTAAATTTTTATTATTTTTTATTGATTTCAGAGAGAGGAAGCTGAGGGAGAGAGAGAAAGAGAAACATCAATGATGAGAGAGTCATTGATCGGCCGCCTCCTGCACGCCCCTGGCTGGGAATCGAGCCCACAACCCGGGCATGTGCCCTGACCGGGAATCGAACCCCTGACCTCCTGGATCCTAGGTCGATGCTCAACCGCTGAGCCACGCCTGGCTGGGCACAGTTCAGGCTTTGTGTGTCTTTGTGGCTCTGCTTGGCCTTGGCACATGGCCCGAGCTGAGCCCCACTGGCCCCTGCCTTTGCCCCCTCCCCGCCCTCTGTCGCAGTCCCTGGTGCTCACCTGTGGGCCTGGCCTGCCCTGGGCTCTGGACGCAGAATCAAGGCCATTGGAACATCAGCTCCATCAGGTCACCGTCTTACTCTGGGCTGAACCCCAGGGCCAGCCATCGCCGACCGCCCCGTAAATGCCCAGCGAGCATCTCTCGAATGACTGAATGAATGGCCTTATGATTGCCGTGAGAACCAGTGTCTTACCTTCTGTGCTAATTTCCTTGGCTGAGCTTATTTACAATCCCCTGAACTCCATCCTCTCTGCCCACCTGAGCTGGCATTTTTAGCTTTGCCCCCTTGGGCTTCTCATTGCCTCGCCACCTCCTGGCCTCATCCTGCACCCTCCGTGTTACATGTCTGCCTGACCTCTTTCCTCCTATCACCAGCCTCTGTGGACATGTGTTTGTCCCTCCCCAGCCCTCCCTGCAGGGACCCAGTCCCTAGTTCTGGACTCTCCTGGTCAGAGGTTTCATCCATGTTTCTCACTATACCCCTGGGGCTCTGTAAATACAGGTGAACTGAATTGTATTGTTGGCTCTCTCTCTTCAGTCATCAGCTAATTCAGGGAAAATTCCATTATTTTTGCAAAACTGGAATCTGGTTTCATAATATGTATCTAATTCCAATCACAGTGCTGGGCATTTCCCCCCGGGTTGGACATCAGTGCTGCTCTTTAAACTATGCGTGTGCCCTGGCTGGTGTTGCTCAGTGGTTAGAGCGTCAACCTGTACACAGAAGGGCTGCAGGTTTGATTACTGGTCAATGGCATGCACCTGGGTTGCAGGTTCAATCCCTGGTCCGGGTGTGCGCGGGAGGCAACCAATCGATGCATCTCTCTCACATTAATGTTTCTCTCTCCCCCTGCCTCCCTCCTTTCCACTCTCTCTAAAAATCAGTGGAAAAAACATCCTCAGTGAGGATTAACAAAAATAATAATAAATGAACCATGCATGCACTCCTGCGGTCTCTGGTCACTCAGCAGTGCGTATGTATCTCTCAGTCCTGGGGCTCTACGGTAAATGCTTTGATAAAATTGATTCATAAGATTGGCTCCAGGAAAGGAGTGGGTGACTAGCGGTCATTGTGATGAGCTGGTGTGGGGCTGGCCTTTTCATCGACTATCAACACAGAATCGACTCTGACACTTGTCCAGGAGGCCAGGAAATGTACGAACGGACCTATACACAGATTAATGGGCTGGGGGCAGATTTGTCTAGTTAGAAATTAAAGTTTGCCATTAACTAACTGGCATTCACGCTATGTTGCTTGACAGGTAGCCCTCGGGTGACTGAATCCAACAAGGGACAGCTTTGTCTGTGGAATTCTGGGAAATCAGAGAGGCGGGCAGAGGAGGTGGGTGCTGAGGGGGCTGAAAGGTACTCAGTACCAATGACTGGGTGTTTGGGGGACGTGCACGCTGAAATCACCAATTCCCCACCCACAGACAGGATGGCAAGGTCTCCTCTCTGTGTCCCCTCCCCTTCCCGCATTGGCACGTGGGTCTCGTTGTCAGTACACATCACAGGAGTTTGATGCCTCAGATGAACAGACTTCAGGGTGCGGCTGCTGCCTGCTGGGAGGCACCCGGAAAAGAGTATCCCTGCAGGTGGGCCCCTGGCATTGCCTGCCTTTGTTGGAGCTGCAAGGGAGAAGTGTTTCCCACGGGTTATTCCGGGGCACCTTTCTCATGAGCAGCACATTTCTAAGGAGTGGTAGCCAAGCTGCATGTTTTCTTTCAGGTGAGTTTCAGATGAACTGGTGGACTCAGGGAACCTCGAGGCCCACGTGGGACAGGAATGGCACCACCTCCCGGGCACAGTCTCCTTCTGATCAGCACGCTGGGCATCTTAGCCCTCAAATGCCTCTCACGAGGCCAGCACAACAGCACCCTGATCTTCACCAAGGAAAACACCATCCGGAACTGCAGCTGCCCCACGGACATCCGGGACTGTGACTACAGCCTGGCCAGCCTCCTGTGCAGCTGCGACACCGCCCTGCCCGCTGCCGCGGAGCCCACCAGCTACAGTGGGCGTCTCACCATCTGGTTCACCGACTCCTCTGCGCTGGGCCTCCTGCTGAACTTCACGCGGGTCCCAGACCTGAAGCTCTCCCTGTGCGGCGCAAGCACCCTGCCCACCAAATACCTGACCATCTGTGGTCTGCAGAGGCTTCACATCAGCAGCCAGGCCAAGCGCTCAGCACCAGAGCAGAGCCTGGTCCTCCACGAGGAGCCTGGATTGAAGCCCACGTCACCCCCGGGCTGGCATCCATGTGCCTATGTCTCATTCCTAGACATGGCCCTTTTCAACAGGGAGTCCTCCCTGAAGTCATACAGTATCCAAAACGTTGCCAACATCACCAGTAACTTTCCCTACTTCCCTGACATTAGAGCCTTCCCGAGTCTAAGCAACGAAAGCTACATTGTAACATTCATTTACTAACATGTTACTGTGTCCGACCACCGGGAACTCTGGCCCACTGTGGATAATGTGAAGAAGGGATCTGGGAATAAGTTCATGGGTGTCTCTACCCACAGCCTCCCTTCTCCCCGAGCCCACTCACAGCAGAGCCACACATGCAAGTAACCAGCCCTCCCTGCCCCCCCCCAATCATGGGAGCTGTTAGGAAAAACAAAATAAAAGGAAACCAAAACCCAACTTGGGCCCTGGCTGGTGTGGCTCCCTTGGCTCAGTGTCATCCAATGAACCAACCGAGAGGTCGCCAGTTCAATTCACGGCCAGGGCACATGCCCGGGTTTTGGGCCTGATCCCAGGGGGGTAGGGCAGGAGGCAGCCAGTTGATGTTTTACTCTCCCTTTCCCTTCCTCTCTGAAATCAATAAAAACATAGTTTAAAAACAACCCAACAAACTTGGTTCAGTCCAGAAACATGTCTTGAGGGCCAGCTGGAGGTCCTCGCGACTCCTGGGGGTTGTGGAGCCATATTAGACTGGAAATGGAGTGAGCAGAGCACCCAGGGGCTCTTAGTGGGCCTCTGGGTAGGGGCCGACTCCCGAGAAATGCATCTTCCTTCAAAATCCTGCCTTGACTGTTCTCTGCTGCATTTTGTGACGGGCCTGGAGCTTCCTCCCAAGTTGAGGGTGACCCATTTCAGGGGTTTCAGGGCTGTGAGCTCCACAAAACAATGAGGTTCTCTTCTGCTGCTGTTCCCCAAATGCCTGGCTAAGAAGATGCACTGAGAAAGGGGAGTTCTGTGACGGCATCTGTAGACGGGGTGGGGGAGGCCTGTGGAGGGTGGGAACTTAGGGCCAAATGAGGGCACCAGGCTTTTGAGGAGGGGAACAGGAGTGAAAACTGGGGGACCTAAAACCAATTGCACACGCCTCCACATTTTGCCTGGACCCTGGGAAAGTTTTCCTCATCTGCCCTTCTCTTCCTTTGCCACCTTGTCATTGTCCCCGCTGCCACCTCCCGTTTCTCCTCTCCCTCTCCCATCCCCCTCCTCCTCCCTCCAGAACCAGAACTTAGATCCACACCGTTAGAACCACGCTTCACTCCACAGGGGGAAGCCTGGGAATCCACCCACACTCAGCATTCCTGTGGGTGGCACGCCCCTACGACCAGCAGATAGAAGAACGTTGGCACAGCCATTGCCAGCTTAAGGCTGGAAAGTTAAGACAGGCCGTATGACATGGTCAGCACAAATGGTTTTATGTGTGTAAATACGAGGAGCCGAGGCCATGTTTTTGTGTTTTTTTTAAATATGGGAGAGGGAGGGAGAGAGAGAAACATCAATGATGAGAGAGTCGTCACTGATCGGCTGCCTCCTGCACGCCCCCGACTGGGGATCCAGCCCGCAGCCGGGCATGTGCCCTGACCGGGAATCGAACCGTGACTTCCTGGTTCAAAAGTTGACACTCAACCACTGAGCCACACCGGCCAGGCTGGGCTAAAGCAACGTTTTTAAATTAAATCGACGCATCATTGTACGAAGAACATTTTTCCTCGCTGAGGCCTAACTTACCACTGTAGTGGAATGAACAGAAAGAATCCATGGCGATTATGGTGGAAAGGTCTACACTCAGAGTGCAAAGAAGTGAAACATTATTGCATTCATGACACCATAATTAGAAGAAATAGTTTTGTTATGAAATAAGAGGATGGCCCAGCTGGCCATGGCTCAGGATCCAGGAGGTCATGGTTTGATTCCCGGTCAGGGCACATGCCCGGGTTGCGGGCTCGATCCCCAGTAGGGGGCGTACAGGAGGCAGCTGATCAGTGACTCTCATCACTGATGTTTCTCTCTCTCTCTCCCTCTCCCTTCCTCTCTCTGAAATCAATAAAGACATATTTTAAAAAGAGAGAGAGAAAGAAATAAGAGGGTGTCTTGGGGTTGATGACTTTAGATCACAATCACCATGTTTTTCTCTTAATCTTAGTGTAGTGTAGCGGAAATAACCTGAAATGTCTACATTTGCTTAATTGGTGGGGGATTTGGTGATCTGGGTTAATTAGCATGAGTCCATAATGTCAGTGTTTAAATTAGGCCACAACTAAGACCAAAGTATGAATTTTAATAGAAAAACGTAATGGCCTCATTACTGACATTATACTTGAGAGGTGAGATTAAAGTCACGGAAAAAGAGAAAGAAGGAAAGAGCAAAGAAAGGCAAGAAGGACATAAGTGAAAATATTAATAATAAATACATTAACTGTCGCTAGTTACTGAAAATGTGAAAAATTGAGTTTTAATGGATTTTTACTAATAAAGTATAAAATTAAATGATGGAGATTCTGAACATCCTGATGTGCCTCTTCCACCAGGTGGCTTTTAACAGTTTCAAAACCCTTTCACATATGATTTAAGTGATTCTTACAAGAAATAATTGTGGGCCAATGGGACTGAAATCAATAGAGAGGGAAGTCAGTGTGTGAGAAATCAAGCGTGAGTTTGCCAGATATCTGGACTGGACTGAAAATGTGGTTCAGGTGGCCCCGCAGCTCTTATCTAGAATAGAATTACTGGGTTACAGTTTCAGAAAGAAAAGAAAACTCTAGATTAGGGATTCCTAGACTATCAGATGCCACCTGCCAAATAAAAATTTTAGATAAAATAAAAAATTGGGGAAGACTCATAGCTTTCACTGCTGTTTAGTTTGTCAAATAAGGGTGTAAAACACAAACACACACACAGACCCTCATCACTATTTCACAGAAGGCAAGAGATTTTTGTATCTCAACATGGAAAGAGAAAGATAATCTCAGAATAAAGGACTGTTTTTCTCCCAAGTAAGGACATCTGGCTACTCTACATGGACAGGCTGTCCTTACGCTTCTCACTTGGCAGCTGACTAGGGAAAAGTTTCCACAGGTAACCAGCGTTCCAGAGTACAGTCTAACACTGACTCGGCCAACAAAACGGACTGGCCTCTTTCGTCTGAATTTATGGGTCAATTATTCCATGTAAAGTCGCAATTTGTTGAAAAAACAACTCCTCATTGCTTCAGACAAATTGGTTGATGTAACGTTTCTAGGTAAGCAATCTCCGTCTTTGCAGGAGACTAAAAACACTCCAATATTAATTAAAAGGTGTTGACAAACTATATTCAATAAACAAATCCGCCTCTTTAACGCTTAAAGCACAGAAGAATTTTATAAAATAATTAACGTCTGATAATATACTGCTGACAGGCGATTAAAGCAGCTATTCAGTTTCAGGAGTTTAATTCCCCCAAGGTCTATAACCTCTAGAAAGACCTTTGACCTGGTTGGGCAGCAAGATAGCTCGCAAGTGTTTAACTCTGCCCTGTAATTATTGAATATGTAGACTGTCGATGTTATACATATATTTGTTGCCTTTTAGTGTCTTAGCTCACCTTCAAATGCAAATGTTCCCTGCTCTATCCTCATTAAATCAACTCTTATACAGTGGAAGATCTTTTTTTGAAGTTTTAGACCACGATATTAACATATTCCGCTCTGGCCCTTATTTTCTTTGTTTCCTCTACGGGAATCATGTTACTGCCAATCTGTTTCTCGGCTCAGGTGTCTGGAGGCTGACCAGGCACAATTTGAGTCTTTTGTGATGGGAACTGGAGTTCAATTTCACCCATGAAACGACCTTGGAATCAGAACTTAAATCAATGCTGAGCAGCCAGAACATAAGGACTTAGAGTAATTTGAATAGCGTGGAAGCCAGGTATTATTAGCTTTTCCTGTTAACTGGAAGAAAATGTTACAGAGGATTCTCTTGGCCTGGATCATCTTTCCAGTTTCCCAAAGTGAGTCCTGGTGGGCAGATCTCAAATCCGATCAAAGAAAACTAGAGAAAAGGGGCAGATGTGTATGACATAGAAATTCTTTTCTTTTAAAGGTTCTTCTTTTTTTTTTTTTTTAATATATCTTTATTGATTTCAGAGAGAGGAAGGAAGAGGGAGAGAGATAGAAACATCAATGATGAGAGAGTCATGGATCGGCTGCCTCCTGCATGCCCTCCACTGGGGACTGAGCCCGCAACCCAGGCCNGAGGGAGAGAGACAGAAACATCAATGATGAGAGTCATGGATCGGCTGCCTCCTGCATGCCCTCCACTGGGGACTGAGCCCACAACCCAGGCCTGTGCTCTGACCGGGAATCGAACCTCGCTCTCCTGGATCCTAGGTTGATGCTCAACCACTGAGCCACAACCGGCCGGANGATCTCCTGGATCCTAGGTTGATGCTCAACCACTGAGCCACACCCGGCCGGACGACAGAGAAATTCTTAGTGGGCTTGGGATCATCCACTTCCACTTGGAACTTAAACCTGAAGTGAAATTGTTGACAGGATGGCGTAGGCAAACACGCACTCTCACATTTGCTGGTAGAAGTACAAATTTGGCAGCTTCTAGAAAGAGCAATTGAGAATTAGCGAAATTACAAATGCACACATTTGCATCTAGCAATTCTGATTCTAGTTCACCCTACAGATGTGACATTTTTTTTTACGCTTTCATGGCAGCATTAATTATACCAAGACTGGAAATAACCTTAATATCAATTTTTATGGGACAGGTTACATACATTATGGTACACTCCCACTGTGGACCACTATGAAGCTGGTAAAAGAAGAGACAATGCTTTTTGTGTACAGATATGAACCGATCTCCCATTTACATTAGACAAAAAAAAAAAAGCACTCTTTATACACTGTGTCAAAAAGGTATAAAAATGTACACATATTTGCTTTTATGCTCATAGAGCACCTCTGGAGGACCAGGAGACACTCAGCATTGCAGCGAGCTGGGTGGCTGCCCCGGGCGGGCGGGCTTCACTGTGTGGATGCCCTTTGCTACCTCTCGGGTTTTGACACATGGAAATAAACTCGCAGGGACGCGCACGCGCGAAGGAAAGGGACCCAGGTTTGGTGACACAACAGGAGTGCCCGCGAGTCCAACCTCAGGGTCCAGTCCTGCTCCGGCCCCGCCAGCTGGCACTGTCACCTCTGTGACGCAAGCCCGAAAGGTGTCCTTGTCATCGCGGCCCAGTCGGTTTTCCGTCCATCCGTCCCCGCGGCGGGCGGGTTCAGAGCCGCGGGCGCGCCTGGCATCCTTTCGAGGACTCGACACGCTTTCCCTTCTTGTAACGGCCAGAGGGGCTCAGCGATCAGGCCAGGCGACGCCCGTCACAAATGAACCCGACGGCTCTGAACGCGCTGGTCGCTGCGGTCGGTGACGATGCCCAGTTCGTACCCATTTCACAGCTCGGAGAACACCC